ATCTGTAAAATAAAATATAAAAAAGATGCAATAAAGGTGCTGACTTTCAAACCTCTAGTTTTATATTTTAGTCCTAAAGCACACGATTGTTCTTGGAGATTACTGAAGTATACTGCTTTAAAATGTTGGCATCTTTCCTAAGCTGCATTGAAAATCTCAAGTGACGATTTAACTGTCTTAATAAGTCTTGATTACACTTAATTTTAAAAATAATACCTGTCGCATAAGACAGAAATCCAAACACAGCAAGCTAATATACTTGCTTAACAGGTTTTAATTATTGTATATGCTACATAAAGACATTTATGCAGCTACTCTATTTTTTTTAAGAAAGGCATTTATTTTGCTCTGTAAAGCAAGCAATGGTGCTTTAAACATCAAGTGATGGTACTTTAAATGTCAGTAGAACCATCAATTATCTGGATTTTTTGCTGCATTAAGTTTTTATAAAGAGAAAAATTATAAAAGGTATTATTGTGGATTTATTCCAAAAATAACTTTGGAGTTATTTACTTGGCCAGTATGAAATCAGTGTCATCTTTTCTATTTTCTGTGTATTTAGGCTATACAACGAGAATTGATTTTCTAAGTGATAGCCCTGAGAACTTGCAGGAGTTTCACTTATCAAAGAAAGATTCAATTATGTTGTTATATTGTACTTATCAAGGAAGAAAGTCAGGGAACATATTTCACAAAAGGCTCCTCAAGAAAAGTTGCAATAACCTTCAGTTACCTAGATTAGCACATCTAGATAATTCTGACTGCCCATTTCTCGGTGGCCCATCTAATATGGATTTATGGTATAAGAGCATTTTACTTTTAGCAGTATCTATATACCAGTATATTCCCAATGACCCTCCAATTGTTACATAATCAGAACAGGTTTTTAATTAAAATTTTGAGGAAGGAGAATTATACACAGGGTAGGGCAAAAGCAGATTTCCAGTTGTGAATACATGAAACAGAATTTATTCTTGTATTATTATTTATTAACTATTGTATTATTTTCCATGCAATCAACTATAAACCTACTTTTGCCCAACCCTGTATATAGTAGTAGAATCACCAGTAGTTCTGAGTGAAATGAAGGATTCAAACAATATATAAATAGAAGTATTAAACATCCCAGGAGGCTGTGTTTACTTTTTCAGATTCCAGGCTGTTTTGCAATAGAGGTTAAAAGCCTGGATGGGTGGCTGAGCTAGAGCATCCAAAGGATCTTTGCCAATCCTGACATTGTGTGGTCTATAGAGTGATGACAGTTAATGGGCCAAACCTTGAGGCTTGAGGCACTTGGATTCCTTTGGTGTGTTCTCAATAAAGGGTAAATTGGTAAAAACACATAAGTATAAAATGCCAACAAAATTAAAGAATTACAGCAAGATATATATATATATAATCTTAGCTTCTTTAGATGTGAACCCTGAATTTTTGCTTTTACTTAGCCAAAAAAAAATTCTTTAAAAATAATTTCATCCAAAGGAAACCCTCATGTACTGTTGGTGGGAATACACATTGGTGCAACCACTGTGGAAAACAGCATGGTATTTAAAATTGAACTGCCTTATGACCCAGCGATTTTATTTCTGTGTATATATCCAAAGAAACCCAAAACACTAATATGAAAAAATAGATGAACCCCTATGTTCATTGTAGCATTATTTATAGTAGCCAAGCTATGGAAGCAACCCAAATGTCCACCAATAGACAAGTGGATAAAAAAGTGGTGGTACATATGCAATGGAATATTACTTGGCCATAAAAAGAACAAAATGTACTATTTATGACAGCATGGTTTATGCTAAGTGAAATAAGTCAGTCAGGGAAAATCAAATATCATATTATTTCACCTTTTTATGGAAGTAAAGGACAATATAAATGAACGAACAAAATAGAAACAGATTCGTAGATGCAGAGAACAGACTGATGGTTGCCAGAGTAGAGGGGGTTAGGGGACTAGGTGAAATAGGTAAAATGTTTGAGAACTACAGACTAATATGTATAAACTAGTCATGGGGATGTAGAGTACAGCATGGGAATATAGGTAACAATACTGTAATGACTATACAATATGGTGCCAGTTGGGAACTGGAAATATTGTGAGAAACACTTTGTAGAGTATATGATTGTGTAATCATGATGCTATACATCTGAATCTAATACAAAATAATATTGAATGTAAACTGTAATTGAAAACATTTTTAAAATATAAAAATAATAATTTCATCCACTTAAAAAAACACACCTAGCATTATCTGCCTAATTTATTAAGATTTAAAAACAAACTGTCCATTGCTGGTTGTTGGAGAAAAAAGGCCCACGGAATGTACGCCTCCCTGGCGTCTCATCTGTTCTGCAGCAGAGTAATTTGCATGTGGCCTGTCCCATATGATAGTTGTTCCCAAACTCAGCAGAAACCATGGTTGACCTCTGATGAGCTAATTAGGATGGTAAGAACTACAGGAGAAATTTATTCACTTAATATTTTGGGGGTTAAAGGGCCATCCATTTCCATAGATAATGGAAAATGGATCTAAATAATTCATAACTTTCTATAGAGAAATTGCAATCCTAGATTTCCCCCCTAAAACTTTTTCAAGTCCTCCATCTCATGAAGGCCTGCCCTTCCAGTTAGAGACTCTCAGGCCTCCCTCCCTCAGCCTTGTCTCTCCACCCTCGCCCACTCCCACCTGAAACTTCCTGTCACCCCCGCAAGCCTTGATGGAAGCCTTCCCTGACCAGTAATCCTCCCCACCTTCTTCATTTCTTCCCCAGATATAATTGTTTTCTCCACGGTGTGCCAGCTTCTGTGGTAGTGTTTTTCACCCCCCAATTTGTATGTGTGCTTGTGCACGTATCCTCTTTCAGACTGTGAATCCCGTTAAGAACAGCCTAATTCATCATGGATTGCTTTACTGTCATCATTACAACTTAGTTCTAATCACCAGTCTGCTAATAACTACCTGGGGGCTTTATGTAACTAGGTTCATCTCATAGATGAAGATGCTGGATGAGATGATATTAAGGGATATAAAGACAATAAAATTCTGTGATTATTATTGAAGAAAAACAGCCTAAAATTAACATTACTCATGCGTGCATTCCTAAAACTTAGCACATGCTTCATATACAGTGGGTATTCAGTCAACATTTCCAATATAACTGAATAAGAATATGAAAATAGTATGATCGTTAGAGCAATGAGTGGGATATAGTTTTCATGAGAAGACAAACACATGACAAACAGGTTCCACAAAAATAAAATTACTTAAGCTGATGCAAAATCTTCCTCTACGCCAGGGTGCAGGCCTTCTGACAAAACTTGAAATAAGGGGGTTGGGAGACCAGGCAGAAGATACTATCTTTGGTTCTGAAATAGATACACCTGGGAAGACTAAGCCCGGAAAGCTTGAGCTCTTTACGGCAAAATACTTTGTGAAATATAGAGGAAAAAACAAACAAAAACAATAAAAACAAAAACAAAAAACGACACGCAAGGATTTTTACCCAGCCACTATTTGTCCTTGAGGACATCCGTACCCTTACTCTGCCTGCCTGTACTCTGGGGTGCCTAGGCGTTGGGGGCACCGTGCCCTAGCATCAGGAGCGAGGCATATCTGGCCTCCAGTATGGCATCCTGATGCACTTTACACAGAACTGATGTCAAATTGGTCTCCTCAAAGTTTCATCTCACTCATCCATCCCAGGAAATGAATGGCCTATTTCCAGCCAGTCTCCCACTCTGGAGACGCTCTCCGTTATCCACACACACTCTCCTTTTACACTCCCCACATCCAGCGGGCAAACACACCCGGCTCATCCTACTCAAGAAACACGTTTATTCCCCACAGTGTCAGCGTTCGTCTTCCTTATATTTTCATGTTCTAGTAACAGCTCCCTCTTTGGGCCTCTAGCTGTCCCCATTGCCACCATGTCCTCTATATGTTGCAAAAATACTGGTCCTTAAATCAATTAAATAAAAAGTCACAAATACCTGCTTCTAATCTTTTCCATTTCTATTTCCTGTCTCTTTATTATCTTTTTATTCCCTCCTTTTTTATATTTTTAAAGGGAGAATCTTGCTTATTGATAATATTTAAATTCCTTGGATTCATATGTGACTATGAATCGGTTTGAATAATTTTTTTTCAGCTTCATATAGTCTGCCATTCAAAATCATATATATATATATACACACACAAACATATATATATATATATATTTCGTTTCTTAGTTAAATATTCTACTTTTCATAGGAATAGGCCTTGTCATGAATTTTTACTTTTGTTCATGCAATTCTTTTTGTCTGGAGCGACTCTCACCATTTTTCACATGGCAAATGTTCATCCTTCAATGGCCTTGAACATCTATCTCCTCTTTGGAGACACATCTCTGTTCTGCTCATTAGTAAGCTGCACGTGTCTTTGTAAAGATACTCCCCCCATTATGGTTCTCCGTTTACCGTCAATCCCTACCTAGAATGTGAGACTGTCCAGGGCAGACACGGAGCCTGACCCAGCTCTTCTACCAAGCACACAGCATGAGCCTTGCCATTAGGAAACCAGGACTCGCTTTTCGGGGGTTACATAAAAGTATGAAGAATACAATTCTCAGATGAACACAGTGATTATTAGTATGTTGTTCAGGCAAAGTTGAAATGCCTGGGGTTAAACAGGCTTTGAAGGGCGAGCCTTGGAACCTGGTTGACCTGAGTCACTTTGTTTCCATGTGAACAGACGTTCTTAGTTCCAAGCAGCACAGGTTCAAATGAACGTTGGAACACAGAGCGCTACCTCCGGGTTCCACGGGGCCAGGCAGCGGGCACTGAGGCTGGCAGGCAGCCCCCCGGCCGGCGAGTGGCTGGGCCTCTCTGACAGGTGACTGGCCCTACACGAAGGCACCCGGTCCCAGGAGCGGCTGAGCCAGCAAGGAGACCAGCTGCGGCCAGCCCGCCAGTGAACCGATGCCCTCTGCCCACATGGCCCTCCTGGGCGCATGCCATGCTGGTCACCGTGTACTGTGTGCGCAGGGACCTCTCGGAGGTGACCTTCTCCCTCCAGGTCAGCTCTGACTTGGAGCTCCACAATTTCCGTGCCCTCTGCGCGCTGGAGTCCGGCATCCCCGCCGAGGAGACGCAGATCATCTACATGGAGCGGCTCCTCGCCGACGACCACTGCTCCCTGGGCTCCTACGGCCTCCGAGACGGCGACATGGTGGTTTTACTCCAGAAGGACAGCGTGGGGCCCCGGACTGGGAGACGGACATCAAGCCGGCCCGGGGTGGATTTCGCTGGGACAGCCACGCCCGGGACATCCAGCGCCCGGCAACAGCAGCAGCAGCCGCGGACACAATCGGTCCAGCATCTCCGAGGCTTCGACTCGGGAGAGATGCCATCGGCCCACGGTGTGGAGAGCCCCGCCCTGATCCGCAGCCTGCTGCTCTCCAACCCCCACGACCTGTCGCTGCTGAAGGAACGCAACCCCCCGCTGGCGGAGGCCCTGCTCAGCGGAGACCTGGAGACGTTTGCTCGGGTCCTGACGGAGCAGCGCCAGGAGAGGGCCCGGCGGGAGCAGGAGAAGCTTCGCCTCTACTCCGCTGACCCGTTTGATCTGGAAGCTCAGGCCCGAATCGAAGAAGAAATCCGGCAGCGGAACATCGAGGAGAACATGAACATCGCCATGGAAGAGGCGCCCGAGAGCTTCGGGCAGGTGGCCATGCTCTACATCAACTGCAGGGTGAACGGCCACCCCATGAAGGCGTTCGTGGACTCGGGCGCGCAGATGACCATCATGAGCCAAGCCTGCGCCGAGCGGTGCAACATCACCCGGCTGGTGGACCGGCGGTGGGCGGGCATCGCCAAGGGGGTGGGCACGCAGAGGATCATCGGCCGCGTCCACCTCGCCCAGATCCAAATCGAGGGGGACTTCTTGCAATGCTCGTTCTCTATCCTCGAGGAGCAGCCCATGGACATGCTCCTGGGCCTGGATATGCTCAGGAGACATCAGTGTTCCATCGACCTGAGGAGAAACGTGCTGGTGATCGGCACCACGGGCACCCAGACCCCCTTTCTCCCCGAGGGAGAGTTACCCCCGTGTGCCAAGCTGGTGAGTGGTCATGGGCAAGACGAGTCTACAGACAAGGAGGTAGCGAATGCGATTAAACATTCGGTCAAGGGACCGGGACGAAAAAAGCACTGACACAGTTCAGAAATCAGCCAGCAACGGAGGGAATCTCAGGTTCCCGGGAATTATGAGACATGGGCTCCCTGGCAATGTGATCATTAAAAACATCAGAAACGACTAACCCTGGCTTTGGGGTCAAGTTCTTAGACATGTGAAGTGGGATGGCCTGGTTTTGGCCCCGCTTCCACTTCCCTAATCACAGTTCACTGAACCTCATCCTGGGGAGGCCCTGGGGGCTCTAGCTGGTTTGCAAAAAAATGTTAAAGGGAAAGCAGCCCCTTCTTTTAGAGACACTGTCCTATCAGGATAAGGGCAGCTTGTTCAAACCAGTTGCTATTTTGCAGAATCTGCTGAAAAAAACCATCGCTGCAGACCCCCCAACAAGGCATCTGCACAAAAGTAGTTCAAAGCAGCACTAACATTATTTATAGTCAGAGAAAAATGTCTATTTTCACAGATTCTGTTTTCTTTGGGGAAGTTCTTAGAAAAGTGGGTCAGCTCTACTCCAGTTGATTAATACTTACAAATGCCTGCTCTGAACAGCACAGGGACCCGTTTCCTCCCATATTACATCTTCCCCTGGCTTCCTCTGGAGTCATGCTCCCTGCAATCCACCCCTCAAAGCTATTTCTGCAATATTTGAGAGAGTAGATTTTTCTCCTGGAATAGCCTAAAATACTTTTCCCTTTCCCCTGAATTCAAAGAAAACCTGGTTATAAAACAAAGGCAATCAAGGAGATTTTTAAAAAAATTGTGGTGCTTCTTAGAGGCTAGTGGTTTCCTTGTGGTGGGGGTGAGAGGCAGGGGCAGGCAGTGCTCCAGATCCCTTAAAACTAATTTTGACTAAAACGTTTAAAAAATCTGCTTTATATATTAAGCTGCCATGTGAAGTCTTGTCTGCAAAAATGTTTTTTTCTGTTAAAATAACATTTGAAAAGTTCTCAATGAGAAGGTCTGTAAGGCTTCATTCAGGTCTATGACCCATCTGACAAAGATACTGTCCAACGACAGTGAGAAAGGGAAGATCCTAGATTTCAATACAACCCATGGCTAAAACTTGTGAGAGAAACAGCTCAGCTGCCTGAGGCCACCAGACTCGGAGACAATGTTTCAGGACAAGACTTCATCAAGACTGGTATTAGAAAGAGTAGCGGATTCAAAGTCAAGAAAGATATGATTTCAGCTATTATTCAGGCAAATCAGATCACATGTTACACAACTCAGATTTCTCATCTATAAACTGTTTCAGAGGGGAGAGCCATTTTCAAGCACAAAGATCCTATATAATAAAAGGCTAATATGCAAATCGACCCTTGTGGCAGAATGACCAATTGCTATGATGCATACTGACCACTAGGGGGCAGACGCTCAATGCAGGAGCTGCCCCCTGGTAGTCAGTGTGTTCCCAGAGGGGGAGCACTGCTCAACCAGAAAACCCTGAGCCGGCCTCATGGCTGGCGAACGCAGTGGTGGTAGCAGGAGCCTCTCCCACCTCCAAGGCAGTCAGACATCCCCTGACGGATCCCCGACTGTGAGAGGGTGCAGGTCGGGCTGAGAGACCCCCCCCCCCACCCTGAGTGCACGAATTTTGTGCACTGGGCCTCTAGTTATATTATGAACCACAGTACCTTTTAAATTTTCCATTTTCTCAAAAAAATCAACAGCCACTCAAAATATTCTCAAAGGCTACAGAAAACAAAACAAAACAACTTCCCTATAATCCTCATATTCGTTCATATCCCTTTCTTGATCTGCTTCTTGGTGAGATTAATCACTTTCTTCTGGAAGAGTCACCTTTTCCCATGGGGCCATTGTCAGTTCGTCTCCCAGGTTTCTTCTTCCTTATAGCTTTCCCTATGCTCATATCCCCAACCCCGCCTACATTTGCATAAGGCTCACACCTGAAAGAACTACTGAAAATGACCAACAGAGACTTTTTTCTACTTTTGTTTCTAATTAAGTACTTAGGACAAGTATAATTAAAATGAAGAAAGAAATTCAGAGTGAGGTCAGGAATAAACAATTAAATGCTTGTGAAATATAACTGGAACTGATTTGATAAATGTATGGATTCCTTTACAAATACAAATATGCAAACTTCTTTTCATATCCTACTGGACTCAGCATGCTGTAATGTACTTCACATATGTTAGTACTTATTAATCCTCAGAATATATGTTCAAAATAGTTATTATTAGCCTTATTTTACAGAGGAAATTCAAGGCTCAGAATTATTATGAAATATTGAAATAGCCACTAGCATAGTGTTTTTATTTTTTTTACTTTTTCCAACAACAATCCACATTTTAGATTGTGACCCAGTTCCACATCACAAACACACACACATACACATACATACAAACGCACACACACATCAGTCTATTTCTGAAACAAAAATAAAATGAAATAATAATGTAATTTTTTATCCTCCCCTGGTATATTTCTGTGAATATTTTATTATACTTTACTACCTGTCTTAAATATGTTAGACATGTCCCACTTGTATCCCACCAAGGTATCCTGACCCACAATGGAAAAAACCAACTCACCTACCAGGTTGCTCAGTTGAAGTCTTTCTGATTTCAAATGCCAAGTTTTTTTCACTTTGTAACCTTCTTTGGCAGACACATTTTAATCCCAAAGATTGGTGCAAAATTGTTACAAAATTTTATTTTATGGAAACTACCAAGACACTACCAGTAAAAGCGACAATGAGTAGCAGTAATCAGAATACACTCAACAATTACTTATTGAACACTCATAAACCTGGCTCACCAGGTTTTTATAAACATAGAAATGAGTAACTTCCAATTCTACACCTCAAGGTGATTACAACCTGGTAGTAGTAGGAGAAAATTTGTAATCAATTAAGAATAAAAAGAGTTGCCGTAACCGGTTTGGTGCAGTGGATAGAGCATCGGCCTGCGGACTGAAAGGTCCCAGGTTCGATTCCGGTCAAGGGCACTCAACAATTACTTATTGAACACTCATAAACCTGGCTCACCAGGTTTTTATAAACATAGAAATGAGTAACTTCCAATTCTACACCTCAAGGTGATTACAACCTGGTAGGAGTAGGAGAAAATTTGTAATCAATTAAGAACAAAAAGAGTGAACATGAAATTAGTAATATGTGCAAATGAAGGTATAACTTTTAATTTGGAGGTTATTTTTTAAATAAGAAATGAGCCAGTGAAATGCACTTTCAATATGCCTAAAATGTCCATTACTGATGCTGGGAAAAACGAAGAAACATACTCTCCTCTTACATTTCAGGTCGCTGACATACAATCTCTAGGTATCCACTTTTGGAAATTAACTACTTGGAAAATAATGAACAAGTCTTAATTTCCTTTCTTCCCATTAGAGATCATGATAAAGTAAACCACATGATGAAATAGGCCTAACCTGTTTAAAATCATTAGCCATTTAAAAGATCCATTAAACACTTGATTTCACCTAGTGCCCACCTTACCTCAAAGTCACTATTGTTGATAGCATGGATTTCAAAACTACAGTAATGCCTTCTTCTACAGTTAGAGACTGATATCATTTGATTAGTAGAGCACCTGATCTGAACATCTTTCTTAAAATATGGGTCATACAGTTTATCTTGTTTCTACGTTCCCCAAAAGAAAAAGACAAACGAATGTCTGCAAGAAGTCATCTTCACGGCAGGCACATCATGTTGCCTCTGAAAGAGAACACTGCACTTCCCTCAGAGGGCCATTCACTGACAGCCAACATTCCACAGAGAATACCTGAGTGAATAGCTAGGGAGTACTCTGCGATTCACACCAGGAAACCACTGGTCAGGACATTAATCGATGCTAACGTTCTTTGAGGAAAACCAAAGAAAAGGAACAATGGTAAAGAGATATAGAGGAGGAAGGGGTGGGGGTGGGGGAGAAAGAAGCTCAGAAATCTGGGTTGTTTTTAACTAATCATCTCTTGGTTTAGGTGCTGTTTTATAAAGTGGGTGGGGACTGGGCTGAGGTTAAGGATTAACTACCATTCCACAATACTTTATTCATCTCGGCAAGTTATCGAAAAACAAAAATATTTTCACAGTAGAGCCTGAGTCAAACTTGCTTTTGAACCTTTGTTTTTCTGGGTTCACCTGCTAGAATCTCAGAATTTCTAAGAGTCACTTATTAGAAATTTGAGGTTTGCAGTCCTGCTATGAATTCTGTGTGGAGATGGGCACACCTTGGGGCAGCTTTGTGTCCTATTACTACACCATATATGTTCTGATGATTATGTCTCTCTTTCTCTTTGAGAAATGTAAAAGACAGGATTTCTATATTTCTAAGCAGGAAGGCTTATTTTAAGAAAATCATATGAAGGATAACAAGATAATTTTCTCCTATGGTAAAGTTCAGAGGAGGCAACATGGGCCTGTTCCAGGTGATGATGAAGTGTATATTTTCCTTCTGTTAATTTAAATATTGATGTTGTTGAAAATAAAGTAGATGATTAACATCATAAGAAGATACCATCACCTCTATCAAATTTTTACCCTACAGCATCAATCACCATTCTACAAATCTTACCCTACCAGCGCTTTACTAAAAGGACCCCTTGAGATGAAAAGAAAAATTAATTTAAAATTATATTAATTAATATATGCTCCCTTTCAAATTCATGTAGTATCTAGGGATTCAATTCCTCTATCTGTTAAAAACAAACAAACCAACCTAAACCTGTGTTTTGCATTCATCCATCTCAATAAAATTCAATATATTTTTCTCAGAGCCTTGTAATTGCACTATGCCATCCAGAGAGATAAAGGAACATAAGTTATGGTCTTTGCCTTTAAAAAATGTAAAAGTCAAGTTAGAAAAAAATAAAAATTCAGAAATAATATTTACTTCATGAAATACTACAGAATATGAGTTCAGGGTTTGAATGAACTGCTTCCCATTTGAGATGCTAGCTATGCAGGATATATGGACAAAATTTCATTGAGCACCTACAGTATGTCAGGCACTGTTCCAGGTGCCGAATTTCCTCAA